ATTGTTTGTTCTTTGGGCGTCTAGAGAGAGAGAGAGGAGGTTGAGAGAGAGAGAGAGAGAGAGAAAGAGATACAGAGATGGGTTTCTGAGCATGTGCTGTAATTTTAATTTTGGGTTTTCATGTCGAGGAAGAGGGTGACAAAGAAATGGCCATGTCTTGGTAATGTAGGTCGTGGGTTTCAGTTTTAGAAAGAAAGAGATATTTGAGGCATTTATTCTGTGCGTTTTATTTCTAAAGAGAGAAAGGAGATGAGCTTTTTTCTACTGGTTTTCACTTCTAGAGGTGCTTTGCTTTATTTCTAGAGAGATATAGAGATAGAGAGAAAAAAGGCCTGTTTCGATTTGGGGCCCCCGGATTTGTGGGTTTGGAGATATCTTGCAAGGGAAAATGGGATGTTCAAACTCAAGAATGGAGGAAGGAGAGGGCTTGATGCTCTGTAAAGAGCGGAAGAGGTTCATCAAGCAAGCAGTTGATAGAAGGTACGCTCTAGCAAGCGTACATGTCTGTTACTTACAGTCAATGAGAAGCATGGGAGTGGCTCTTCGAAGATTTGCAGAAGCTGAAGTTTTAACGGAGCCTTCCATCTCAGCCTCTGCAACTGAAAAGTCCCCATCTCACTGTTCATACCCGTCTCCTTCTCCATCTCAACATGCAGAGATAACTGATTCAGCATTACACCATGAAAGCCCTCTCTCTCCTCCAACCACTTTTTCCACTTTGAATTACATGAAATCAGGGGTAAATTCCTCGGTTACATATGAACAGAGGCCTCCTCGTATAGAGAAAGTGGCAATAAGTTCACCACCAAGAAGCCCCATTTTTAGAGAGGATCAGTCTGAGGAAGCTGAGCTAAATGCTTCACCCGCTTCCCCGTCAATGGCATTCCTTAGGCCTCCTCCTCTTCCTAGATTAGATTCGTCCTGGGATTTCTTCGACCCTTGGAATTCAGATACCCAATTTGATTTTAGTGGGGAGAAGATCTTTAGCCTCAATAGAAAATTTGATGATTTGGAGAGTCCAAAGCGAGCTAGACAAGATGGAAGAGAAACCCATTTAGAGGGAGTGGACAGAGAGATTTTGAAAGGGAAAGATGGAGTTTCTATTGGTTCTTCAGGTCGTGGATTTTGTGAAGATTCGATTAGTCCCGTTTCTTATAAGCAACGAATCATGTTATCGAATGCACATTCATTTGCAGGATTTCCTTCTGAACGATTTGTAGATGAAGAGGGTTCTTCTCAGTATGAAGAGAGAGAAAGTGGAGGGGCAAAAACCCCTGATACTGATTTAGAGGGGGAGAATGAGGGTTTAGCAAGGGTTACACCCTGTGAACTTGGGGGTTCAAAGAGAGAGAATAGAGTGGCTGAAAAAGAGGCAAGCCCTCTAAAAGAAGATGCTGCTGCATATATTACTCATAGGGCCAAGGACTTCTTGTCGAGTGTGAAGGACATTGAGAATCGTTTCTTCAGAGCCTCTGAATCAGGGAAGGAAGTCTCAAGGATGCTTGAGGCCAATAAGATCAGACCCACCTCCACTGATATGAAAGGTAATCCATTCTCATTCTTCTTTTAGCAATTTGGGTAGCTTTCTTTTTACACATTACGTGCCTGATTAGGATTCAGCTTAAATATGCATAACCATTGAATTTTTTATCTTTTCGATCCATATATAGGTATTGGTTTCTTATATTTGACTTAGCTTTTACATATTTGGTCTCTTCTTGTATGGAATCAATACAAATTGTAGCAAGATTCGATGTCCTGTTCTTCATTTCTTTGCTTCCTTTATGCTTTTCTTTCTTTTTATATGTCCTTTGCTTCTTTCTTCGTTGATAAATTTTAATTCCATAAGGTTTTTGGCCTTGAGTTTTGTTGTCACAAGGTAATGAGTCGTGTGGAGTGAGCTCCTCAAAAGAATTTCACTACGAGCAGGAAGATCACATACATCTATGCCTATTGTATCCAGATGCAATGCCCTGTTCTTCATTTCTCTACTTCTTTACGCTTTTCTTTCTTTATATATGTCCTTTACTTTCCTTTCTTTTCTGTTGATAAATTTCAACGACATATGGCTTTTGGGCTTGAATTTTGTTGTCACAAGGTATTGAATCTTGTGGACTGAGCCCCTCACAAGAATTTCACTATGGGCAGGAACATCACATGCATCGATGCTTCTCTCTGCCTGCTGTTTTGTTTGTTTCACGGGGCAGAGTCAGACAGCCCTTGCTCCTCAAGGTAGGTTATTTCCCCTTTCTCAACTGTATCAAGTTTAATATCGACAGCATTCATTAGCCATCATCACTGTTGTTGGTGTTGGTGTTGGTGGTGTTGTCATTGATGGTACGAAGGAATGCCGTCTTACTAAAGTGAAAAAAAAAAGAAAGAGAAAAAATAGAAGAAGAAGAAGAAGAAGAAGAAGAAGAAGAAGGAATCCTGAGTTATACTATGGTTGGATATTTTTCTTGAAGACGTTATGTTCTTGGGATCGCTTGGAAAATAGAAACAACATTTAAATGTTTTTCATGCTTACAAAAATTCAAATCTTTTGGGTTCTTTTGTCATTTCTAGTCACAATGGTGCAGATCCTCCTCAACTGGTTCCAAAGGTTATAACTTGGAATAGGTCCACATCATCACGTTCTTCATCTTCTAAAAATCCTCTTGCTTCTGCGTCGAAAGACGACATGGATGATAGTAGCAGTGATTTTGTTGATGATTTCTGCATGATTTCGGGCAGCCACTCCTCCACTTTAGACAGATTGTATGCATGGGAGAGAAAACTTTATGATGAAGTCAAGGTATGTGAATCTTATCTGCTTTTACTGTGAATATTTTCTGCTCAGCCTTCGCTTGCTGGAAAAATCACTTCGTCATACTAAAGTACTATATGCAATTAATCTTGTTAAATGTTTGTATCCATGGTTTTCACTTTTGCATATAATTTGGATATAAAACCATTCAGCTGGAACCATTGACCATTTAAAATGGTTGAAAAGTGGCACAATGAAACAAATATCAAAACAAAATCCAATCATCTTTTAAGGAATTAAAAGATTATACGCCTTCAAGGTGTCCTCGATATGCTTCGAGTTCTATAACCTTGGAGGGTCATACATGATAATAGGGTTGCTTATTTTGCTGGTTCAAGGCCATAGTGTCCATCCATGGCCGAACTTTTACTGGTGAAGTCTCTTTGAGCAAAAAGCAGCAAAACATCTGCTGCTAAGGAGGCCTAATTTTTTCTCACCAACATAGGATTTAAACCCGCTGTTGAGGAGAGGCTGCATGAGTCCATTCTTCTAAATGGGTCTCCTTCAGGCTTATGACTATGAGTTGTCTGTGGAACTGGCAAGTTAGAAGTGGGTCAATTCGCTGTGTCAGGATGAGCGAAAGAGGTCGGAGGTGGAGAGGTCAACTGCAGTGCTCCAGGAACTTAGGGCCATACGTCCTAATTTCTCTGCCAAGTACCTAGTTGTTGGTGAGGTTTTAAACCTCTTTCCCGTAGGGGCCATAGTGGCTTCTCCTGAGGTGGTGATGGATGAGGACACTGCCCTATAGGGGCAATGGGGCACTTTTTTTCTTGGGAGTTGTACGGGATTCCAGACTGCAGTCTTTTTTTGGCTCTTTGATCCATCGTATTTCTGGTTTGTCATTTGGGGATTGCCTATCTTTAACTTGTTGGCTTTTTGTGCTCCTGGACTTGTGGGGGTCAATGGCTTGTTAGATTTATCCTCATCCTTAATGGAGAAGACTCCCTTTTCTTCTCTCATCTCTCCTCTTCTTGCTCTCTCTCTCTCTCTTTTTAATCCATCGAGATGTCTAATGGTCAGCGTGGATCACATGTTGCCACTTTTGAGCATATTTTGATATATAATATGGCATTTTTTGTATAGATCCATACTGTCGTTCGTGCACTAGTATTTGTTTGGTTTCATTCTCATCTCTCCTTAAGCAATATTCCATTGGAGTAATCCATTCTCTCTCATAGTTAAATATTTTCCAATACTTGCTTCTTTTATTCTCTTTTTCTCCTTGGATTTTGTAAAATACCATTTTAAGAGAGTAGAGCATAGTTGCTAGGATCTTCCAACCTAGGTGGCAATCCCGCTAAGGAATCTTGCTCTGATGATTCGGGGAAGCAATCTTCGAGGGATCTTGATTTTTAAATTTTGGGATCTTGATCTCTCTATTAGGGATCTTGATACCACCTCAAAGTCCAAGATAACCACCAAACTGATGAATTTCTTTATTTATTATCAGCTAGCAATGCATCTATATTAATGCAACTATATTTTTTAAGGGAAAATTTCTCCATGCACCCTAGTTTGAAATATGATTTTCCCTTAGACCTTGAGTTTTAAAGTCTCTCTAGCGGCATTAAGTTTCTCACTTTTCTATCTTCTAACCCCCTGAACTCATTTGGTACTAGTTTTTTTTCCTAACAAAACACATAGAGACTCGCAGGTCCTACTCTCATGTCACTTCTCTTTTTTCTCTTTTATTCTCTGCCTTGCTCTGCATCTCTCTCTCTCAACCCTATCTCTCTCTCACCTCTCTCCCCCAATTGATCTTGCTATCTTGCCCAAGCCATTTCTCTCTCTTCCCCCATCCCATCTCGCTCTCTATGTGGCCTCTCTCTGCCAACCCCTCTGTCTGCCTTGCCAACCCATCTCTCTGTCTCACTCGCTTCTCTCCCCAATAGATCTCTCTCTCCTCTTTCCCCCAATCTCTCTCGTCTCTCTCACCCAACCCATCTCTCTCTCTCTCACCTCCCCCTTCCCCCCAATTGATCTCACTCTCTAAGTCAAGCCATTTCTCTCTCTCTCTTCCCCCATCCCATCTTGCTCTCTCTTTGCAAACTCTCTGCCAACGCCACTGTCTCTCTTGACAACCCATCTCTCTGTCACACTCACCTCTCTCCCCCAATCAATCTCTTTCTGTCTCTCCTCTCTCCCTCAATCTATCTCTCTCTCACCCAATCCATAACGGTTGGAATGACTTGTAGGAAGGCTATCTGGTGTCAAAGATGAAATTTGGTGATAGAGAGAGGAGTGCTTGCTTTTTCGACGCTCGGCCCTTACTGTTACATTCCTCATTGATCTGCCCACTGTCCAATACCTTTGGCAACTATTGCAAAACTGCTTTGGCTGATTCACATTGTAATTGTTGTAATAGCAAAACTTGGTTCCCAGGCTGTTATATTGAGGGCACGACAACAATCTGTTGGGTTTTTTGTTGGTCCTTGGCCAATACCAATCTCTTAGTTTTACTCTTCTCCTCGTTAGCATCCTACTTCTTGTGGATTGATGGGTCTTTATGCTCTAGTGATTTTATGGTGTCCTAATTGATGGTGGGATTGTTCTTTGGCTCTGAGGATCCTCTTATGTCTCCTGGCTCTTCTTGGTCATCATGTTCATGATCATGTGTTCTTTCTTTGGTGTTTGAGTCGTCTTTGGAGTTTGCATCGTGAGAAAATTTCAGAAAATTTGGTGGAATTATAGTAAGAGCAATAGCATGGATGAAATTAATTTGGGGTTTGATTACAGCTAGAGAGAGAAAGAGGGGTTGGCAGAGAGAGTGAGATGGGATAGAGAGAGAGAGAGATAGGGGAAGAGAGGTGAGAGAGAGATGGGTTTGGAGAGATATCGATTGGTGAGAGAGAGATGGGTATGGAGGGGGTGCAGGGTGAGAGAGAAACAAAGTAAGGCAGAGAAAAAAGAGAGAATGAATGAGAGGGGGACCTGCGCGTCTTCTATGTGCTTTGTTAGGACCAAAAATCAGTGCCAAATGAATATTGGATGGGTAGTAACCGTTCCGGGGGTTAGAAGATAGGAAAATGGAAAACTTAATGCCACAAGAAAGACTTAAAAAATCAGGATCTATAGGGAAATCATATTTTGAATTAGGGTGTATGGAGAAATTTTCCCATTTTTTAATATAGTTTCATTGCTTTCTGGCTATAAATAAAGAGATCCCTAAGCTTTTGTTCCACTTTTAAATAAGCTTTGGTCTACCCATGTTCTGAATAGGGTTCAAGCTTTTGTTTGAATCTTGGCTCAAGGGAAGTTTCCTACCATTGACCAACTTCAAAGGCATGGTCTCCACCTCGACCAATGTATGTTGTGTCAGCATGAAGATTCTGCTAAACATCTCTTTCTACATTGCCATGTAACCTACTTTTTGTGGTCTACTCTTCTTATTTTTGAGTTACAGTGGGCTGTACCACTCGCCATACTTCAACTCTCTTAGTTTTCCGATTCCCCCCTTTCCAAAAGATGGTAGGTGCCTTTGGGTCATGGTAGTCTTTGCTCTTCTTTGGAAGGTTTGGAAGGAGAAGAATGCAAGGATCTTTCGCAGCGTTCCAAGTCAAACTCCATCTCTCAGGGATTCCATCATAGTATAAACTTGGTTTAGGGCTCAAAAAGCTACCAGTCTACAGTGACATAGGTATCTTGAACTTCCTCAACAACTGGGATACTTTGCTATCCCTGCCTTGTCCTCTCTTAAGCTCCATGTAGTATGGTTGACCCCTCCTTTTGGCTTTATCAAACTCAACATGGATGGCTGCTTGCCCGGGCTTCTCGGTTTATGATGGTATCCTTGCTAACTCTAAGAGGGTCTTCCTCTCATTTTCTAATTTGATTGGTTTTATGGATTCAACTATTGCTTAAGCGTTGGCACTGCTATAAGGTATTAATGGGTCCATCCACTCGCTTCCAAACATAGTGGCCTTTTGAAGTTGATTCTAGGAATGTCATTGCATGGGCGTCGGAGGTTGCTAAGCCCCGGTGGAGGCTAGCTAAAATTTTTGATCACATATACTTCTTGTGCATGGGTCCTACTTAAGCAACTATTTGAGAAGTTTAGGGAGAAGGGAACCTAGAGACCTCCACATGGTCTTTATTGATTTAGAGAAAGCATAGGATAGGGTACTTAGAGATTTTATTTGGTGGGTGTTGGAAAAGAAAAGAGTCTTCAGAGGCTAGATTGACATGGTGAGAGATATGTATGAGGGAGTGCTAACTAGTGTGAGGACAACTAGTAGAGAACCAAGTGAGTTTTCAAGACCGTAGGCCTACATCAGGGGTCAACATTGAGTGCATATCCGTGGACGAGTTAACTAGGCACCTACAAGATGCCTAGTTAACTAGAGGCAGATCACATGGTTTTCAAGACAGTAGGCCTACATCGTGGTGCATGTTATTCGTGGATCACATAGGCTTGATTGATGAGATAGATTAGAGGCAGCTTCAATGCAGAGTTAGAACTTTGGAGGGATGCTCTAAAATCTAAAGGTTTTAAAATTAGTCGGATTAAGACAAAATATATAGAATGCAAGTCTACAAAATAATAGGAGTAGAAACAAGGAAATGGTTAAGATTGATGGCCTAGAAATACGTAAAAGAGGTTATTTTCGATATCTTATTGATAATCCAGGAGAATGGAGAGATTGAGGAAGATGTACATAGAATTAGAGCTGAGTGGGCGAAGTGGAGATGTGCATCCAGAGTTTTATGTGATTGCCGCATACCATGAAGACTAAAGGAGAAGTTCTATAGAACAACTATAAGACTAGCTATGTTTTATGGGACAAATATTGGGCGGTCAAAAACAACACATCCATGGGATGAGCGTGGTTGAGATGGATGAGTGGCAAAACAAGAAAGGATAGAATTCAGAATGAATACATACGAGGGAACTTAGGTTTGGCTTCAATAGGCGATAAGATGAGGGAAAGTAGATTTAGGTGGGCTAGCCATGTGCAGCGTAGACAATATACAACACCAGTTAGGAGGTGCGATTTGGTTCAAGTAGAAGGCGCTAAGGGGCAAGGGGAAGGGCCAAAAGGACGTGGACAAAAGAAGTGCGAAAAGATACATATGGTCTTATTGAGGGTATGGCCCTTGATAGGCAAAATGGCAGAACAAGATTTGTATAGTCGGCTCCAAGTAGTTGGGATATGGCTCGGATGATGATGATACTTCTTGTGTAGGGATATCCCAGTCACTTTTAGACACCTTTCGAGAGATTCCAATGCAGCTGCTGATAGGATGGCGAAGGATGGTGCTTTCCGTACAATAGGCATGACAGAGAACACCACGTGATGTCCTTCCTCTGATTTTCTTTGTAAATTTCTTTCGCATTTCTTATATGATGTCTTTTTCTCACAATCTATCCACTATTTTGGACATTTCCTTCCTCCACCCAAAAGGGTCTTTTCCTATGAAGATATAGTTTAGACAGATTTATGGTAATTTAGTCCCTCCGCATTTACTTCTCTGATATATTTTAAAAAAAAAGTAAAAGAAGGGGGAAAAAGAAAAGAAAATGAAAAAAGACAAAAAGGAAAAAGAGAGGAGAAAAGAAAATGCATGTCTTTCACTCAAATCCAACCTCTCTTCTTCCTGCTATTTCACTACCAGCCACTTGCTCTTCTGTACTCTCTCTCTCTTTGCACTTTCATCTCCTATCTTCCCCTTCTCTCTCTTCTCTGCTCTCTCCTTCCTCTCTTGTGCTCTCTCCCCTCGATCTCCCTCTCCTTCTAGTCCTCTACACTGAAACCCCATTTGCACTACGTCTGCATTTCTATCTTTATTTACTATCTAGAGCTCTACATTTTTTATCCTCTCCAGTGGCTCCTTTGATCCGTTTCATCCGTCAACTGTTCTTCCAATGCTTTGGATGCTCTCTTGTTATTTTATCATTCTCATCCTCATCATCCATTTGCTACAATCCGATATATCTTGTCCTCTTGCTCCAGTAGACATCTTCTTCATTACCCTATCCATACAATGTTTTTTCTCCTTTTACTTCAACTTCTAGCTAAGCCTTTTGGCCTTTTATAATGTATCATATATTTAATTTTATCTTTTAGTTGTGAAGTTAGAGCTTTTGGAAGGTGGGCAGTCTATTGGGATCGCGGTCAACATTTTGGAATCTCAATCTCTAACATATGCATTGTATGGACAGCGCTCCCATCTATAGAGACCTTTAGCATTTCAAGATCCCCCACTCCCGATCTCATTCCTGTTCCCGTTCCCGGTCCAGCATCTGATCCCAACAATTCTGGAATAGAGTTTGGTATAGTTTACCTAACAAACAAGAAAAGGAAAAGTGAAAAACCCAATAATAAAAATTATTGATAACTAATGTAGTTTTCCTTCGATGGTTTATGTGCAAACTGTAGAAAGATATCCTACGGGCCATATTTGCATTGCACTCTATTTTTCCTCTTTTCCCTTTATTGTATTTCGCTCTTCTCTTCGTATTTGTAGATGCCATGATGTATGTTATGGCATGGATTGTGATTCATTTTAATGAATTATCTATTGTTTGGCATCGTCCATAAAAAGTCAATGCTCTGTTGTTTTATTCTCAATTTGTGTGAGCATCATAGCATTTTCATGTTGTTTTATTTGCTTACTTGATACTTCGAGCTGTTACATCATTTCTTGAGCGGTGGCTAAGGTTGTATTAATTCCTTGTGATTTTGTAGGCTAGTGAGATTATCAGGAAGGATTACGAGAAAAAGTGTAATCAGCTTAAACATCAATTTGCAAAGGATAAACATCAATTTACAAAGGACCTAAAGCCTCTGCTAATTGATAAAACACGGGCTGTTGTTAAGGATCTACATTCAAGACTCAGAGTAGCCATTCATTCGGTTGACTCAATATCAAAGAGAATTGAGAAACTGAGGGATGAAGAATTGCAACCCCAACTTCTAGAATTGATACAAGGGTATGATTGCATGTCTTTAAAGCACTCTTCTATATGTGATATTGGGGTATTGGTTGCATAATTTTCACTGTTCTGTTCGCTAGTTGTTTGTTTATATTCTAGACTTTTTTTTTTCTTTCTTTCATGTGTTTCCCTCATTAGTGGTTATCCTATGATTTTCAACGGCTGAACAGAGTCTGTTCATCCATATCCTTTTACATAGCATTAAATTACTTGATTTCTGTGGATTCATAAATTTTATATAGACATACATAGCATTAAATTACTTGATTTCTGTGGATTCATCAATTTTATAGACATCAATTTTTGTGTAATTTATTGTCTGATTGCTTTTATATACGAGGAAAATGTTCGAAAATATTGAATAATTTATGAAATAGCAAGTAAACTATGGTTGGGCCTAGTCGACCATTTCATGAGCTTAGAGAGCCTCATTTAGAAGGTTAGGTTGTACAGACTTTCTAGGTTCAGTGAACTATTGAGAAGGGGCTATGGACTGCCCCGTTGAAGCAGTAAGAAATGCCTCAGTAATCAGGAAGTATGTGTTTTACCAATAGCTACATGTGGCAGGGTTATGTGGCGTCGCCTTTGCCACAATGCAATCAGTACTTCCTAAAGCTGCCATTCACTATAAGCTTTAGTTTCACCTTGGATGCTAATTCACAACATAGCAATACACACAATCCATTGGCACATAACTACTGGACCTGTTTTAGTTTTTGTGTGGAAGGACCTATATGCTTACCTGTGGATGTGTGCGTGTGGACCATAGTTAGCAAGTCGGGGACTATCAATAATTCGCCTCTCCATAAAATCGGAAATAAATTGTTTTTATTTTAAAAAGTCGGATGAAAAAATCGGGTCAAAAATATGGATCCGCAAAAATGCTTCATGTAAAGATATCGCAAATATATCGGACTAGGCTGAACAAATCGGAGTCAAAAAATCGGTTAAGTTTAAAAATATTAGAAATTTTGAAGTACACCTATTTAGTACGTACCAAAAAAAATACACCATATGAATACACCATGATAAATACACCATACGGATACACCATATTATAACTACGGTTTGGTTAACTATGGAATGGTGAGTTGGAAGCATCCGGAGATATGATAACTACGGTATGGTAAGTTGGTGACCCATTACAGTTCAAACAGCAGCAAGAAGCATTTGGAGTTTTGGACAAAGAGGAAGAAGAATAGAACCCCAATTGGAGCAGCATGCAGAAAGGGAGAACCGGAGAAGCAACACATACAGAGAGAGAAGCAGCATGCACAAAGGGAGCAGCACACACAGAGGAACTATGGGTTTGGGAAAATGAAAAAACCTGTTTGGGGATCGAGTGAGAGAGAGAAGCAGCACGCACAGAGGAACTATAGGTTTGGGGATATGAAAAAACCCATTTGGGGATTGAGAGAGAGAGAGAGAGAGAGAGAGAGAGAGAGAGAGAGAGAGAGCGAGCAGTGACACGAGTAAGGAACGACAACAGTGACGACGTAGGGTTAGGGTAGTAACGTAAACCGTAAAAACCCTAACGTTCGTTTACGGTTTT